TTTGTCAACATCAATAAAATGCCAAATAATCATATGTAACTCATTAAATATCGAAATTAGAAGAAGAGTGCACTATTTTTAATTATAGGAAATGCGTTTTTCTAAGGCACATCAACTTTTGGGATTGACTATATAGCCAATACATCCTTAAACATTTTGATTACGCACTTTCCGTATTTTTATACATCATCATTTCTGTCCGTTCAACGTTGCTATAAATGGAGCTACGAGCATATATCTCAGTCTCTATATCTAAAAGATGTCTTAAAACGAAATCGTTCAAGGAAAGCGGAATTATCGCGATGGTATTTTCACAGACCGTGGCTTTGTCATATTATACACTTATATCATAGCTACCTCGCATTTACATATTCAATGATCGTTACCGCGTGGAACAACGCGCGGAGAGTTCGAGGCTCCTTTCTCTGAATCATAATGAGCACCGCGCGTTCTTTTCATGCCCGCGGAACGTATATCGTATAATTACATCAGGAAGCGATACAATGACGGGTTCACTGTTACGCAAATTATAAGAGAGATCGTAACGCGTTCGTTGAACAGTAGCCGTTTGAATAATTTGCATTGTCTCGGCCGTGGCTAACCATAAAGACGGAGTAACGGTGCCGCGTTTCGCGTTTCGTTAAGCGCAGATAAAGTCGCCTTCGCGACACGCGTTCCGTATCATTTTTATACCTGCCCGCGATCCGTATCGGTGATAAATAACCTGGCTCGTTTACGACGCACGATCGTGTGTTACGTGTCTCATAATTAAATATAGAGTCGATAAAAACAATTTTAATTCGCTCGATTCGTTCGACTAAAAATGTTGTTGTACAATTAACGTTTCGATCGGTTTCATCGGATCAGTTGATGTATTTATTCATTGGTTTTATTCAATACCAGACGAGTAAAGAAATAATCAGAATTGGATAAACAATTTCGACCGCTGGTGTGAATCAAGCCCAACGGTACCCATTATTGGTCGACGCAATGAATCAGCCATAAAAAAGGAGCACTCGAATCGCGATTCACGGTGCTCGCAATCGTCAGGCGAAGATAGCATCGGTCTCGGAGATCGCTATCGGGGAAAGACGTCGAGGCTTTAATTTAATAACCACCCTTTCGCCTGGTGCCTTTGTTACAGAGGAGGACAACACCTCGAGCAACTACGGCGTCGATCTGGCGGACGAGGACGCGAGATTCGAGGACGAGTCGTTATCGTACCACGGTCAGACGCATCGCTCCCTGGCTTCGTTGTCGTAGCGCGCGATCGATCGGTCGATCGATCGATCCCCTGTTCACCGTAGATCCCTCCACGGTGCTCGCTCGGAGGAGCCACGCGGGAAGGTGAACAACGCGTCCGAAACGAGATTCGATTTCAGAAAATCTCTGGAGGGACTCGAAGCGGACGCGATACGTTTCCTCTCTGACCGTGTTTCAAATTGAGCCACTCGGGCCACGAGTCGAGGGAAGATTTATGTCGGATAATATAAATAGATTAAGGGCAGATCAGTATTCATTTCTCCGTTCTCGGGGGGATCATAATCGAGGTTCGTTCGCGGCCGGACGACGTTTCTCCTTCAACCGAATGAGAACCGGAAAGCTGGCGAGATTCAATTAACACTTTCGCGTGTTCGTTTCGTTTCATTGCGCTACCAGTCGGGAGCCATGCACGCAGGTTTGTATCTAAATATTGTTTCGGTGTACATACATGCATAACAAATTTATTGAATAATTGTAAGAGACCCACACCTTACGCGTCTCGTCGATTGTTCGTTTCGAGTCGCATTGGGGGAGCGCAACAGTTTTGACGCTCAGTTTTCTATATTCAATATTAATTCGCAATTTCAATATCATTTAGATAAAATCTAAAAGCATCATTGAGATTGATTGTACGAATATAATTTATTTAAATCGATTGATGGGATTCGACAAAACTTTTACACTCGCTCAATGTAGACGTTGTATGTCCATCATCGAGAAACGTTCGAAGGCAAATAGTAATGCGCGTCTTTCCGACGTTTTAAGAGTACAATGGATTTCGTGTATTAAATATATCTGGTCGACATAGAGGATGAACTAGAGATATTATACGTATTCATAGATAATTTATAAATTAAACGAAATTGTAAATTATTGCTGTAAGTATCGTTTCGTCGTCTACTTTCTTTCCTCTGCCTTTTTAGTCGTTAATTTTTATTCGCATCAGTTAATTAATCGATAACGTGTACCGCAGTGTTCTTTTTGTATTAATTTATTATAATGTTGATTAATTTATTGTTCGAAAAAAATAATATGAATAAACGAAGTCTGATTGGAGGATCGTGTCAACTTCACAGTACACCAGTTTTCTTTTATTTACTCGTTGTTTTCACTGTGCACGCAGCAGAATTTCGATCATTATCAATCTGAATTAAAGACAATATGCAGAAGTGTAACCTTGCATGACGTATCATCATACATACTTTCATTCACGTTGCAGTTTAGACACGACGCTTTTAATTGTTTAACAGAATTCTGTATATAGCACGTTTCCTATTATACCGCAGTAGTATAAAAAATCATTTATTCTTACTAAACCAACTAATGTAAATCATCATTTGTCATTATTTTAAGAATGATCAATCTTATCACAGCCATATCATTGCGTTGGCTCCTGACAAATTAACATTTGCAAGAATCATCGCGAAAGTGTTAATGACTTACAATCTCCTAGAAATGATTAATAATTCGTATCAAACGTGTATTTCTAGAGAACTAAATTTTACGGGGCCCAAAGAGTACGGGAGATAGAACTATACTAATTGAAATCTTGAATAACGACTCGAACATACTTGATGAGAGGCATGAATCAGCATTCGTAACATTAATTCGGATTACTGAACATCCTCTGACTGATTTACGATATTCATTTGCATATAACTGCCGTTTCATCGTTAGAACTAATTCTCTTTTTTTCATAAGACTGCTGCTTCACGTTGACATGATGCGTACGGTTGCATGAAACATTGAAATATAAATATTGGAAGACTCTTTGATTGTAACTAAAGGTAAGTGGCAATCGAATAGGATAAGAATTTCAACTCTTTCACGGAACGATATGATTAGGATTTAATTATAATTTTAAATAAATGAAAAGCAGGTGGTTTCAGTTTAATTTTCAAGACTGTGGAAGTGGCGAAGTATCTCATGTACGAGAATAGCTCACGGTATTGGTATTGAAATTAAGTCACTGCAACACTTGAAAGGGTTAACGATCACGTTGAAACGTGAAATTCGTATTCGGCGGCTGGTAATGAGTCTGTGAAAGAGTTAATGGTGGCTGGATAGAATTCCGAAACGTCGAAACTGTATGTAATAAGGAAATCGCGAGTCTGGTATACAGGAAACGTCGGGTAAGAAATTATTCGCCCGCGGCAGAACTCGACAGGTAGTCGTATAATTCTTGCAGGAAACCAACAGTGATTTTTTAATGAAATTGTATCCTTCCAAGTGGGAAGAAGAAAATGGGAAACCGGTGTCGGTACGTGGAATACGTAGCATGTGTATATTCAGTCGTAGGATCTGTTAGGCTAAAACGATAGTGATAACAGAAAGAGTTTTGACGATCACGGAAACAGTAAGACTGAAATATGTAAAGTGAAATTTAAGTATACTAGGGTTTGTGTTTTATGGATTCGAGAGAAGTTCGGAAAATTTTATTCGAGTAAATCTTTTAATATTTTGTCCAACTCTGGATAGAACCGTACGCAGTGTGTTGATCAATTTTATTTGAGAGACGTTTCAGAGAAATGATGGAAACGTTTATTCGCGTAGTGTTAGTTAAGAAGGATCTATGATCGTATTTATTTATTTATTATAAATGTTTTCTAGAGTTATTGCTTTTTCAAATTTATTATTTGTTACTACCTCTTTTGAGCATGCGTGCCTATCAATTAAACTCAGTTATAGATTATTATTTAATCAAAACTTAATTAATAAAATAGTAATTTTCTTTTCAGACGATAAAAGTTCTCTTTTCCACGTACTTGTGATCAGCTAGCAAAACATGATACGAACAGTCCCATAATTTTACTGTGTACGTAACTATTTTTAAATTTTATTCCAGCATTCAATGCTTCTAAAAATATAATTTCTCGAATCACTTGCCATGACTTAAACTACGTGGAAGCATTACGTCGTGTCAACTTCTATCTTTCGGACACACATGACGGAGCACCGGTTGAATTTTGACAAAAATCGAACGCGTTACGTTTTGCCATCTGACCACGGGATTACTATTCATGCCATTTAAATAACAACCGGAATTCCATGTAGCACGGATATGTTTTCGTTCTCATTACCGTGACCGAGGAATCTCGTTCACTTCGACGAGGAAAAACACTTTGTGCCTCGGCAATGACAATTTAACGGTCGCGCGTGTAAGTTACGCGTTCTTAAACGCGCATACAATATCAGACAGTCCATAATCTTTGATATCAGTTTCGATCCAGGTTCTAGTGTCTCCGGCTTGGCGCCAACAGAATTTACCTCTTACAGTCCCGTGCAAAATGATAAAACACTCCAAGAATAATTTCCATCCCACTTGTCACGCGACCAAATATCCTTTAAAATATTAAGATAAAAATCCTTTTACGCGCATTTCTCATACTCAGCACGCATCGAGCATATTCACGTCCTGTTATTCGTTCGGCTTTCATTCACTAGTAAAAGTTCAGTTATTTTCGAATCATACCGTTTTGTCGGAGACTGTGTTATTCGTACTTAATTTATGTTAGCTTCGCGCCCCGCGTTAACAGCTCCGCTTCGTTCGCGCGCATTTCATTCGATCACCGTCGCGTATCTCACCTTTTTCGCGATACTCGTTGCGCACGTTCTATGCAACACGCGGTACCCACATCGGTACGTATCGTTTCTCACCGCGGCGATCCGGTTATTAATTGTTAAAAATTCAAAAAGCAAATCGGGAAACCGAGCAACTTATTGGAAAATTACAAAGTTGACACTTAATTTGTGTGTTCCAAGGTAGATTAACCAAGGAAACCGTGTCCGACTATCGCTTTCTAACGAGGACTATTTGTGTTCGTCGAACTACTCGCATTCAACTGATCATCGAAAAAGTTATCCGAGTCTCCCAAGACTTTCGTTTCGCTCGGTTCTTTGCCCGACGGATTCCCCCGTTCCACTGAGCCGCAATTTTGCGGAATGCAAACTCTCTCGTGGCCACCGTCCCGGCGAAACGATTAACGTTCCTGACAGGCGCAAGTGTTCCGAGAAACGGGGAAACGTCGCGACACCCCGCATTGTAAAAATCCAACATTGGAATTACTTTGCAATAACGCCGAACGCCGGCTTAAAAACGCGAGGAATTGTTTCCGAGATCCCCTCGATTATCGCAAGGACGCGCGGTTTCTTCCGCCCGGACAAACTTCCCTCTCGAATTCTGCCCTGACGATTTCATTCTCGCACGATCACGCGCGCGAAATGACGCGTTACAACCTCGTGGCTAGCAAATAACTCCGTGTACGTAGGCTCGTTTCGACACGATCGCTTGTGCAACCCGGCACTCGATATTTCTATGCAGTCTTTGTCCGCTACTCTATTTGCCTACATCTCCTTCGTAAGTCTTAGGGCACGAGAGCTTATCACGTCACATAATCGATACTAATCTGGATCTCGTAAGGGGAACGCTTTATCACCCCCTCCGCCCCGTAGCTTAAATTCTACTCGACTCTTTCTATCCGGATTAAGATGGAACTCGACGTAACTTCGAGAGATTCGGATTGCTCGAAGGAGTAAAAGGAGACGAGCGGGGAAACGCGAACGAGATTATTCAGGGGCACGACTGTGTCCAGAAACCTGAACAGAACGGTGAAATCATTTTTAGATGGAAATGCAATTGTACGCGATAAATATAGTTCCTGTATTATACATCCGTATCCGTATACACGACGTACATGTACGAAGTTTAATATAAATTATTCTACTAGTAGCTTTAAATTATCCGAATAGTAGTCACATAGTGCGAACCAAAAAAAGAATAAAAAAAAAATATGATCACGCGTTGATATCTGTAATTTTATTCGTCGGTGTCGAACGTTTAGAGTCTCTTCTCTGTGTGAAAAATATTTTCTTCGAAATGTTACGAAATATTTAAGACAGTAACGCACGGTATTAAACTTGTGATATAGCGTAGACATACTACTTGGATTTTCATCGTAGCGAGCGAATTGATGAGAAATGTTTTGAACTGTTTTACGGATGTATAGGC